ATTTCACAAACTATGGAATTGATTGAAGTGGCTAGGAAGGGTAAATTAATGAATATAAAAGAAGAATATCAAATCTACCGCCACTTCAAGGACAACAAATTGATAGATGAGCAAAAACAGGCAAAAGAAATCAATACTCAGAACAGCATGTTTGACCTCATTACCACTTGTACACACACACCCCCCACCACGTCACGATACACATAGCTTTAAATAACATCGACGTGGCTTCTCCACTGCACTACACAATACACTACGCGTCGGACACAGCCGACCACAAGGTAAGGCCAGCATCAAATATTATTTAATATTCAACGTTAAATATATTATAATAGATAAAACCTAACGTAATACAATATCTTTGCAGCCCACGCAACCTCGTGCTGACGCCTCCCCCATTGGGACAATCCACTAAGAGGAACCTGAATATTTTACTTGGACGGTTTTAACTTTAATTTTAACATTCACGACCCGCTTTGTGGGTGATTTTTTAAATGCAAGTGGGATACCCGCACTCGGGATACTAGATGTTGTTGTGTTTTACGCTCCGATATGTGTAACATCTTCCACAAAAAACTGTATATTGTGATTGTTGAGCAGTGCAAGTGTTTCCATATTTTTGTTGTGGATGCCTCTGATGATGGCTCTCTGTGAGCCGAAACATGTAAGGCAAATGTGAGGAAATGGTGACAAGAATATATATTGTTACACTCGACGGAGGTTTTATTGGTAGTTGGTGATAAGCCAACAAGTTTCTTCGACACATCTTATTTTGATTAAATTATCTTCTGTCCTGACAGGTCACCCGCCCATATATTTCTTTAGTGTTTATTACTCTCTCTACAGTACTTACAAAAAATTAAGTCTGTCTCACCTTTATCATCACACATGGCTTCATGAATCTTAATCTGATACTGACTCCTGCACAGGGCAGCTACATAAGAGAGTTCCAAAAGTTCTGGGCCATTTTGCAAAATATAAAATTTTAGAGGAAAAGTTGTCACTTGATATTTTTGGTGTTTGGCAGCTGGCCATGAAACACTACTGTACTCCAGAACATCCATGTGTTTGCAACCATTCTCTCAGCAATATTGTAATACACATGTTCTAGCATTCAGGACTGTATTAACCTTTAACATCCGAATGACACATATATATGTCGCAAGCAGCAACCAGAGTTGGCCGAATGGCACATATATGTGATGCAGGACACATGCACTCTTTGGGAGTGCTGAGTTTGACCTTTGGTTTGAAATCAAAACCAACCTACGTGAGGTCATGTCAGTGGTTCATTCCTTAGCTCTGAACAAGCAAATCATTAATCTCGGTCCTGGTTTCGAAACTATTTATGTTTACATATGACTGTTTATGACCTGGTCAGCCAAATATAGCCCAGCTTTGTTCTGAGAATGATGTATAAAGTACTTATAAGATCAGTGTTATCTTATGCCTCTGAGACCTGGCCACTGTCAAAATCTGATGAAAGACTGTTAAGTATATTTGAAAGGAGGATCTTGATATATATCTTTGGACCAGTGGAAGAAAATGGAATATGGAGGAAGAGGTATAACCATGAGCTATACAAACTATTTAATGAACCAGACGTTATTGGATTTATAAAGGTGAAAAGGCTTAAATGGGCTGGACGCATAATACGTGCCAGCGAGAATAGAACGATTAAGAAAATGCTTAACACCAAACCAGAAGGAAATAGGAGAGTGGGAAAACCAAGGTTAAGATGGGAAGAATGTGTGTGGCAGGACATAAGAATTTTGGGTATAAACAACCGGATGAATGTAGCATCGAATAGAGAAGAATGGCGAGCAATCCTGAGGAAGGCCAGGGCTCACAAAGGGCTGTCGTGCCAGTGGTGATGATGATGATGATGTTCTGAGAACTGAACAGGAAATATTCGTCGGTGCTTGCAGATCAGTGCTTCTAGAGCTTTCAAGGAAGTGTGACATATTCAAGGATTGGTTTTCAGTGGCGAATTATCAGTTAGGAAGTCAGTGTTGGATTTCTTCATCACTTAAAAAGTTAGTGTCAGACTGTCATACAGTATATTTCTTTGTATATTATTTTTATTTTGTGTCTTGGAAGAGGTATAAACCCACTGAGCCAGTATTACTTTGTGAGTAAAAGGCATCTTTGTCATTGTGACTTTCCATATCAGTGTGGGACTGGCACCTTTTCGACTACTATTACAATTATTATTTTTTATTGCTAGTGGGGTAGGACTAAGTCCCTTGTACTGCTGCCACTTCTGGCCTATTGTACCATACTATTACAGTTACTTTGCATCACTATTTTGCGAGTCTTTGTCAATCAACATAATTTATTTGATTTTGCTGGAAACCCCCTTCCCCCAAGATGGAACCTCAAAAACTTGCCCGATATTCCAAACTTCTCGATGCAGAAGAACTGGAGGAAATATTGATGGAAGAGGAATCTTATGAAGAGTTAGAAGATATCAATGAGTTCACTGAACCTTGAGAAAATATGTCATCATCATCATCATCATCAGACAATGAGGCAGAAGAAACGGTAATTAGGTTTCATGATAGAAGACCCGGGGATTTGCCAAAGGTATTAGGCTTCACTGGTCCTCTGAGTGGAATCAACAGATCAGCTGCTCCCAATATAAATGCACAGTCGCCTCCTTTTTCCATTTCATTCTGTTTTTCCAGCAAATATTCCAAATCTTGTTACAAGAAACCAACAGATATTTCCACCAATTTATGGCATGCCAAGATGGTCCAGGCCCTTCTGTTCAACCGCATGGTGTTACAATTGAAGAGATATATAACTTTTTGGCAATAATTGAAATGGGCCATGATCAACAGGACACACACAAAGATTATTGGTCAAGAGATGAGCAATACCGCACTCCATTCTACCCTAACACCATGGTACAAGACCGTTTCTTCCATATTTTGAGATTCCAGCATTTCAAAAATAATGAAGCTCCTTCAAATCGAGATGACCCAGAGTATGATGGGCTCTGGAAAATTAGAAAAATTTTTGACAATCTCAACAACAAATTTTGTGAACTTTACAATCCATCAGAATGTCTTGCTGTTGATGAAGTCATAGTATTGTTCAAAGGAAGAGTGATTTTTCGTCAGTATATTCCAAAGAAACACAAAAGATTTGGTATAAAAGTTTACAAGCTTTGTGATTTTCTTGGCTACACTTATGACATGACAGTTTATTTAGGCAAACAAAGGCAACTTGCGACAGAAGAAATTACATTGACACATGGCATTGTTCTCCAGCTAATTCGAAGAGTAGAAGGCTTGGGACACAAAATTTACATGGACAATTATTTCAGTTCTCCTGCTTTATTTGACGATCTTTTAGACAGGAAAATAAATAAATGTGGCACCATTCACAATGACAGGCGTGGAATGCCACAAGAAATTTGGCCCAAGTCAATTAAATTGAAAAAAGGGGATATCGTTAGAAGAGTCAAGCGGCATCTAAGTGTTGTTCGTTGGAAAGACAAGCGTGATGTGTATGTTCTGATGAATATGCACCCTCCTCCATTGGAAGGCAACTTCCGAGATGAATCTGGCCATGCTGTCAAACCTCATGTAATTGAAGACTACAATGCACACATGGGCTTTGTGGATAAATCTGACAGGCTGGTAAACAGTTATGGCATTGCTCGGAGGACATGGAAGTGGACAAAGAAATTGTTTTCCCACCTTCTAGATATGACTATTCTAAATGCATATCTATTACACAAGTCATGTGGTGGAAAAATGACACATAAAAAGTTCCGCTAAATACTGGTGCGGGATTTGATTCTTCAATCGCATGAGGTGAATATCACAGTCAGCGGCGTTTCTCGGGGGAGGCCAAGTTCATCTGGGGTCCAACTGAGTCGACTGGAGGTGAAACATTCACAACACTGGCCACCCAAAGGAAAACAAAGACGTCATATTTGTTCTCAGAATGAGAAGCGCAGAAGCACGCTCTACTACTGTAAAAAGTGTGACATTGCGCTGGTCAAGTGGGATTTGTGGTGGACAAAGTGACGCTGGGGTAGATTTTCTCTGAGTACCTCGGTTTCCCCTGCCAATCTTCATCCCACCAAATTCTTCATCATCATAATCACCCGGGGCAGGTACAATAGGCCCATCAGTGGCCGCCATGCTGAGTGGACCCAACTGGACTCCACCCCCTACTATGCGAATCAACTGAAGTGACAATTGGCCACATGGAAATCGCCGCCACCGCCACCAGCACCACCACCACCACCAAGAAAGAAGAAACAGCGACAGGACAGGTCAGAAGGCAAGGTAATGCTTGAATTGGTTTTCAACTCATCTTGAATTGCTCAAATGGAATTCATCCCAGAAGGAACGACTGTAATCATGCACTGCTACAAGATCCTTTGCCATCTAATACAATTCAACTCGCTGTAAGCGTCCTGAGCTTTGGCGCAGGAAGAACTCGCTGTTGCTACATGACAATGCCGCTGCACATTGCTCTATGCTTGCCCAAGAGGAGCTGTCAAAACATCACCATTTTGCCACATCCTCCATACTCACCTGATCATGCACCATGCAATTTCTCTTCTTTCCCTGCTTGAACAAAAAGGTATGTGGGCGTCACTTTCAGTTGCCACAAGGGAAGCCATATGGGACTTCCCTGCAAATATCTTCCAGCAGTTTCCACCAGCTATACCAATGTTGGTAGACTTGCACAGCGTCCAAAGGCGGCTATTTTGAGGAAAGATGTGGATATGTGTAAGTGTATGTGAGTATCTTGTAATATGGTGCAACAAAACCACAGTCCACGAAATTATTGATGGTAGTCGTACTTTAGTCAGACTAATTGAAGAAAAGAGATCATTTGGGAAATATGTGTAAGATTTCCACTCTCAACTAGCTTGCCCAAGACAGAGTCAGCCTAATGAACCTTTGTTTCATAACAGGTTATGAATTTTTTTAGCATCTTCTCAATTCTGCCACTACTTCATGAAAAAACACAGTTAATATTTACATTTAGAAATATTACTACAATGCACAAATGAAAACAAAACACGAGAAAAACTTTTTAAGATATCATAGAACTAAAACCACCTGTTGCCATGTCCACCAAACTTAGTGTTAGGGCTCATGATCACCAAGAGTTTTGCATGCCTTGGTCATTAAGCTCGGTGCTACGACATTCTTCGTCTCTCTGTTGGCAGTCTGGTCACCCCCCTGGGCAGTGGCAGAAGGCCAGTTCTGGAGTGCAGTGCAATACCATTCTTTCCAAATATTTTCCTCAATCTGTTGGTATTCTTGTAGCCCTTCAACCATAGGTGCAGCATTTCTTTGGTGATCTACTGTAGTGAAGCTCATCGTAGCTTCAGAGAATGACTTTGAGCCAAGTCTAACGCAATTGAGTTGCTATTCATTCAAAATTTGAGAACAGAATGTGTCCTGCAAGCAACATATACAAGGACATTTTGCACTGTGCATGCAATGACATCTGCAGTCAATGGAAAAATCTGTATCACACATTCCAGGAATACATAACTTCAAACTAATTTTGCACTGATGTCTTTTGAGATGACTCTCCATAACAAATTATTTTTACAAGCAACGTGAAAACTGGCTCCTCCCAGTGTGTATGCACTGATGCATCCACTACGTAAACCAAAAAACCTATTGCAATTATCATATGTCAACATCCGTTTTCAGCAGTTAGTGATAAAGTAATTGTGCTCTAATCACCACATTCTGTTGCTCATTTGTCTCCATGGCATAGTGCTTAATTAATTAAGCACAGGGACAACTTTACCTTTAACCACTGCATACACGCTGATGTACTTTCAGATGGCTGTGCTGATTAAATGATCTGTTACACATATCACAGGGATATGGCCGCTCCCCACTATGTATGCGTTCATGTGCCCTCAAATGACTGTTCCTAATAAATGATTTATTACACATATAACAGGAAAATGGCCGCTCCCCACTATGTATGCGTTGGTGTACCTTCAGGTCACTGCTAGTGGTATACGACTTAGTACACATATCACACGCATATGGCCGCTCACCACTATGTTTGCGTAGATGTACCTTCACCTGATTCTTAGATATATATGACTTATTACACACAGCACAAGAAAATGGCCGCTCCTCACTATGTGTGCGTTGATGTACCTTCAGGACATTGTTAGTGGTAAATGCCTTATTACATATATCACAGGAGAATGCCCGCTCCCCACTGTGTATGTGTTGATGTTCCTTCAAATGACTGCGCTTGGTAAATGACCTATTACACACCTCACATGAAAATGGCCGCTCCCCACTATGTATGCGTTCATGTCCCTTCAGATGATTCTGCTGACTAAATGATTTATTACACACAAGACAGGAAAATGGCCGCTCCCCACTATGTATGCGTTGATGTTCCTTTAAATGACCCTGCCTGCTGAATGATTTATTACATACACTACAGGAAAATGACCGGTTTGCAGCATGTATACGTTGATGCCTCTTCAGACCACTGCTACGCCTGAACAACTTATGACACACATCACAGGAAATTGGATGCCCACCATGAACGAGTCTACGTTCATTCACGACACTCTGGAAAGGAGAGACAAATGTTAGAACAAATCTAATGGGAACAGGAACAAGTTGCAAAGTATGTTACAATTGAAATGAATGTTGTATTACCTCAGTTACGTTCTTTAACAAACGATGAGACTAGTTTGTGTAATGGTTACATTCTAGACTGGTGTTCTGGAGGTGTTCAGTGTGAATGTTGGCTGAGACACTGTCTACAGTCAGATGTATTCATGGTGTTCCTCAGTCCCTCCAGCCAAATAGTACACTGATAAAGCCTAAATTGCTTCCACCCAAATCCTTTCGAATTCTTCATTCTTCAAAGGTAGGGTGTGGAGTGGGGCCACTGAAAGGCTATTCTAAGCATGTTAACAAACTTTTGCTTACCATATTAAGCAGGGAGTTTGTTCACCATGTGTACAATGACTAGCCTCTCAAGAGGAACACTGCTCTGTGGAGTTGGTTAGTCATCAAGTCATATATAAGGAGTTTCAGGGAAGTGGGGGCTGGTCTGAAAGCATTCAGACCTGTCAGAGTCTACAATGGTCATGAGTCCCACGCGACTCCGAACCAACAATCACTGTGCTGGCAAGATCAGCAGGAAATTTGCAGGTAGACAGGTGGGCAGGCAGGAAGTGAAGGAGTTCCAGGACAAACTAATCACCTACCTTCGTCAAATACAATTTGGACTGCACAGATAATGATCCATACAACAACTGTTCTACCTGTTCCAGTGTTGCGCGTCTACTGGTTGTTGTGGGAACAGGTTTACTAAGTCACTGTCTATGAAGGCAAGGATACATATGCAGACATACAGTGCAAGTAGGCTAACAACAGAGGAACTGTTCAAGGTGATGTATTCCTGTGGTCCAATGTGGAATTACATGCAGAGGACAACCCAAGTGATTCAACATTACACAGCTGTTGTCTAGCAGTATCCATCTCCATGGTGCTTCTGACTGCACCAGTCCTGATTTCAAGCCTAATGTCACATACATGTTTACATGGTATCGTACCGGCCATTTCTTTTGGCTCCACTATTGCAGCCTTCAGGAGTAATGGAATGAAGCTCACTAATACAAATTATATAATACTGTGAATGTACAGACACCATTATTATACTCCAGCAACCCAACGTACATATGCAGCTATGTATATCTTTATTCCATCTAACAATAAACAGGAATGTGTCACACAAAACACTGACTAAGAAGAAAACGGTTCTCCTACAATCTTTTGAGGGTAATGCTGGAAGATGATCTGTGAGTCCACTAATGATCAGTGGTGGGGCCTCTGCTATCCCTATTAGTAAACAAAACAGGCAGCTGCAGATGCCCTGCTATTCAATAAGGGAGGAGATGGATGAAATTTTAAACATGCTTTACAGCAACACCACTGAAATAATAACATGCAGAGATATTAATATTGTCACGTATTGGGTACGTAACACGACAAATAACTTCACGCCGTCTTGGATATAGCGAATTTATTCCACTTGCTCTTACAGTTACACAATTTACAGTTTCACAACTACTGCCATCTACAGTATCACAATTACTTTTCCTGCTGAAGCCACTGCCATTCACTCAACACAACTCATGCTGAATACTAGTAACTCTCTCTCTAGTAACTGGCTCCATCCTTACTGATGAATCCCCCCTGAATAGTGTTCACTGTTCCTTATTTAGGCTCGGCACGGACAACATACAGAACACATTGCTGCTCGGCAACAGATATCGGGCACTGTTGTCAGGAGTTTCTACCTATGCATTGCCTAGCAACAGTTGCTGCATGGACTCGCCTGTTGGGTGACATCACAGCCTAGTGGGGAGGGGTGTTTACCCAGCATTGCATGATGATGGAAGGAGTGCGGGTATGTGATGTCACTCGTGAGAACACAGAGTTCACGTGACCCCTACTTCCTGTTGTGCCATCCACATCACAATATTAACTATCTTAATGATTCCACATAAAACAATATTTACATCTGATATTAGCCTCCTATGGTCTATCCAGTATTGTGAAATTTCCTACCAGAATTCAGGAAAATTCTTACTCTGCATTTGATAATATTTTTAAGTTTAATAATGTTTCAGTATACCCTACTATAAATGGGCTCTCAGATCATGATGCCCAAGGTTTAACAATACATAATATATTTACTCAAAAATACAATACTTGTTACTATTATAATCAAAAAATCAATGAATCATCAATTATGAACTTTAATATTAAACTAAGTTATGAAATATGGGAGGATATATTTGTTGAGAAAAATGTAAACACTGCCTTTAATAATTTTTTGAATATATAATTAAGAATATTTTACTCTAGTTTTCCTCTCAAAAAAGTGTATTTTAAATCTGATAATAAGGCTTTGTTAACAGCAGGCCTAAAGATTTCATGTATAAATAAAAGAAGGCTTTTTTTAGCTCAAAGAAGCAGTAATGACCCAATTTTGAACAAATATTATAAGGGATATTGTAAAATTTTATCAAGCGTCATTAAATCAGCAAAACAAAGATATTACAATAGTATTTTAACTCGTTCAAAAAATAAAGTAGAAACTACATGGAATATTATAAAAAATAACTCTAACACAAAACCAAATGTCCATAACATAATTTCAATAAAGGTGAATGGCAATTTATCTCGCGATTTCGGCTGTTCAAAGGAACTACCAGAATAAAGCTATACCCAATTGTGTAAATTCTAAAACGTACTTATTCAAGGCATATACCCGACCTTTAAAGAAATAGAAGATATAACAAGGTCACTAAAAATAAACAACTCATACGGATATGACGGGATATCAACAAAAATTTTAAGTAGTATTCCATATATTTCTTCTCCCTTGTGTAATAGAATATTGATTACTGGCAGCTTTCCAACAAGATTACAATTTTCGGAAATAAGACCCATATTTGAAAGAGACAAAAATGACACATTTAATTACAGACCTATTTCACTCCTCACGTCACTCTCTAAGATTTTCAAAAAAGTACTCTATAATAGATTATATCAACATATTGAGGATAATCATAATCTTGTTAATGAACAGTTTGGCTTTAGGCAAGCATCGTCAACAGATTACGCGTCTTATCGCTTAATTAGTAATATCTTAAGAGCATTAAATTGTAAATTATTGGTTCTGGGTATTTTCTGCGATCTTCATAAGGCATTTGATAGTGTTAATTATGATATTTTGTTGTTCAAAATGGAATTCTATGGGATTACAGGAACAGCTTATAACTTAATGAGATCCTATCTACAAGATAGATATCAGGCAGTGTTAGTTAATGTTAACTCAAGTAAATACTACTTTAGATGGGAACCTGTTACTGTTGGAGTCCCTCAGGGGTCCGTACTTGGTCCCTTGCTCTTTCTCTTACATGTTAATGATATGCCTAATGTAATATCAGACATCTCAACCCGTCCTATATGCTGATGACACTAGTCTGATAATTACAAACCCTGATATCCAGATGTTTGAAAGAGATATAAATACCGCCATACAAAGATTAAAGAGATGGCTTCATAGCAATTTATTATCATTAAATCTGGAAAAAAAAAAGATTTCCTTCAGTTTTTAAGTAAAAACACTAATGCAGGTGACTTAACAGACAGATAACTAGTGTACATACCATAAAATTTTTAGGTTTAATTGATAAAAATGTATCATGGCTTACTCATATTGAACAATTGATACCTAAACTAAATAAAGTATCTTACGTAATTACAAGGGTTGGAACTCTAATGGTGGCAACTATTTATTTACAACTGATACAAAATAGATGCATGTTTCGAAGTTTTACTGTCCTCCAATGTAGTCATCAGCATTGCGTACAATCAGATGCCAGTGATGTGGAAGTCACAGGATACCTTTAGCAGTGCCTGTTGTGTTGATAGTTTGAATGGAGTGGTCTACTGCCTGCCACATTTTGGCATCCCTTGTTGAAGGCTTTTACCCACCTTGCCACTGTTCTGTAAGGCAATGCAGATTCCCCGCAAGCCTCTTGAAGACCTTGATGACACTGTTGTGCTGTACGGCCTCTGGCACATTCAATCTTTAACCAACTCCATCGTTCCTGTTTCTAAAACATCGTGACAACACTACATTAGATCGCCAGCTAACTAATGTGTGGTATAAGTGACATTATTTGGTTCCGTTGCATGGCGTCTCTACAGCAGTGTTGCCACTATTAGAGTTCCAACCCTCATAGATTTTTGAAACCATTATTGTCTTTGGAAACCTTAAAAATGGTTTACTTCTTATTAGCCCATTCAATTATCTCGTACAGTATAATATTTTGGGGTAGTTCAACTCACCCTAAAATTATATTTAAAATCCAAAAAAGGATAATAATAAGAATCATTACAAATTCTGGCAGCAGGGATTATTGTTGAAATTTATTTAAGGAACTGTCTATTTTACCATTTTACTCTCAGTATATATTCTCTTTATTAATGTTTGTTGTTAATAATAAAGATTTATTTAAAATGAACTCGGATGTTCATACTTTTAAGACAAGATCTAACTGTGATTTGCATTTTCCAGTAGTAAATCTGACTGTATACCAGAAAGGGCCGGTCACGGTAGCCGAGCGGTCTAAGGCATGCACTGTCTTCGTTCGCTCTGAAGCCGNATAGATTTTTGAAACCATTATTGTCTTTGGAAACCTTAAAAATGGTTTACTTCTTATTAGCCCATTCAATTATCTCGTACAGTATAATATTTTGGGGTAGTTCAACTCACCCTAAAATTATATTTAAAATCCAAAAAAGGATAATAATAAGAATCATTACAAATTCTGGCAGCAGGGATTATTGTTGAAATTTATTTAAGGAACTGTCTATTTTACCATTTTACTCTCAGTATATATTCTCTTTATTAATGTTTGTTGTTAATAATAAAGATTTATTTAAAATGAACTCGGATGTTCATACTTTTAAGACAAGATCTAACTGTGATTTGCATTTTCCAGTAGTAAATCTGACTGTATACCAGAAAGGGCCGGTCACGGTAGCCGAGCGGTCTAAGGCATGCACTGTCTTCGTTCGCTCTGAAGCCGGGATCGTGGGTTCGAATCCCACTCAGGGCATGGATGTTTGTGTGCATTTTTCTGTGTTTGTCTACAGGTAGAGGCCTTGCGACGAGCTGATCACTTGCCCAAGGAGTCCTACCGTATGTGTAAGATCTAGAAAAACCGAAGTGAACGGAGTTCATGGAGGTAGGCCTAGGCCCACTGGGGCTGTAGTGCCAAGGGGGGGGGGAAACCACAAAGGAGTATGGTGCTCTGGTATTAAACTTTACAATCACTTTCCATCAACTCTTACACAAATATCATACGATATTCCTAAATTTAAAGTGGCATTAAAGAATTTCCTGACCACCAACTCTTTCTACACTGTGGAGGAATACTATTGTTATAAATAAGAATTCTGAAATTTGACTATATCTGAAATATTGAAATCGCTGATTTTATGACTGTAAATTTTGATTACTTTGATTGTAAGATGTCAACTTTATGTTTTTATAATTTGTCCAACCATGTATAAGAAAATTCATTCTATGCATGAATGGGACTTGTTCCACATCCATTGGCGTTTTAGCCCCTCTCGATCTATGGAATTGTAAATAAATATGAATATGAACTCACCGCATGTTCAGCCTGTATTCCTGGGAATGATATTGGCAATGGATCTTCTAACTCTTCCACATCTGAGATCTCCTCCACTTTTATATTGATGGTCTGAAATGTATCATGAGAAGATGTTAAATGTGTCTCAGTACATAACCCTTGCACATCTTCCTGTGGATGTGCACAGTCCTGCAAAACCAGCAAACCCGTATCAATCAGGGCTGTGCGCTCTCACTACACACAACAGCATACACTTTCATTACTACGGTCACTGTGCAGTGCATCACTTTCATGATGGCTGCTCTGTACAGGTTTTCTTCATTGTAACTATCAGAAATCTTATTAGTTTGCAACTCCATGGTGTAGCCTCCGTCTTGAACACATACATGTAGTGGTCACTTAGAAAATGCAGAAATTGCCTACCTTTTGTGGACACATGGAAAGTAGCCCACCACTGGTTCCTCTCCTGAGCCATAGCCTCAAGATCTGCTCTTAATACTGCCCTTCCATCTATGTATAGGTCTCCCAATTGGCCCTTCCATTCAGGATTGCCAACCAAAACTTTCCACGAATGCATGATCTCTCACATGAATGCTAAATGATCTGTCCATCTCATACTCATTGATGTTAGGATTCCAATGATATCTGCCAAATTGTTCCACTGACACAGCTTCTCATTCTCCAGCATCCAGTCACTCTTTCACTCTTAGACCTATATATACCCCTCAGTATCCTCTTCTACACCGCTGCAATGTATATTCTTTCTTCCCTCAACCTTTAACGCCCGGACTTTTAAATTGCCGGCAGCTCCCTATAGCCGGAATTTAAATGGCCCTAAGTCTTTAACATTGCAGACTTTCAGAAAAAAAAAAAAAGCATATTTTCTGTTCTATGCAACATCGGAATATGAACTAAAAAGAATCTGAAAGACAATAAAATTTTCTACATATACACAAAGGGGCAGGTTTTACAAATGAAAATTAACTGTGATCATTTTGTCATGAAATGCAAAATATAATCTTTATTATATACGTTATGAAATTCTAAAGGACTTAACCGTCATTTTTCTTCAACCTTGAATCGTGTTGGTGATGTAAACATGACGACACTATATGCAATCATATTTGGTACAGACTGTACACGGTTTGGACTGTGTCACTTCACAGTTTACACTCTGACATGAGCATGTCCCACTCTCGAAGCAGTCCACGAGACACAGCGCAACATCACGCATTTACAGTAGAAAAGCCTGCTCCTGCTTTTCTTGTTTATAGAACAAACGCGACGTCTTTGTTTCCCTTTAGCTGGCCAATGTTTTGAATGTTTCACCTCCAGTCGACTCAGTTGGGCCCAAGATGAACTTGGCCTCCCCCAAGTAATGCCACTGACCGTGATATTCGCCTCATGTGATTGAAGAATCAAATCACGCACCAAAATTTTGCTGAATTTTTTGTGCATCATTTTTCCATCACATGACTTGTGTAATAGATATGCATTGAGAATAGTCATATCTAGAAGGTGGAATAACAATTTCTCTGTCCACTTACATGTCGTCCGAGCAATGTCATAGCTGTTCACCATTCTATCAGATTTGTCCACAAAGCCCATGTGTGCACTGTAGTCTTCAATTACATGAGGTTTGATAGCATGGCCAGATTCATCTCAGAAGTTGCCATCCAGTGCAGGAAGGTGCATCAAGTTCTTCCAACTCTTCATTAGGTTCATCTTCCATCAATATTTCCTCCAGTTCTTCAGCATCGAGGAGTTTTGAGTATCTAGCTCGTTTTTGAGGTTCTATCTTGGGGGAGGGGGCTTCCAGCTAAATCCTATACTTTATTTGAAAAAGCGAGACTGTTAGGAACACTCGCAAAATTGTGATGCAAAGTAATTGCAATAGCAGTCGAAAAGTGTCAGTCCGCCATTGATACCGAAAGTCACAGTGACGAAGATGTCCTCACGCACAAAGTTACACTGGCTCAGTGGGTTTATACCTCTTCTGAGATACAGAATAAAAATGATATACAAAGAAATAAAGGAGTCTGACACTGACTTCTTACTAATAACGAAATATTAGAAAATCCGCCACTGATGTCCTAACTGACAATTCAGCACTGCAAACCAATCCCTGAATTCATCACACTTCCTTGAAAGCTCTGGTAGCACTGATATATAAGCGCGTTACGAATATTTCCTCCTCTAAGTTCTCAAAACAAAGCTGAACTCTATGGCTCACCAGGTCATAAACAGTCATATCTAAACGTAAATAGTTTCGAAACCAGTACCCTGATAAACGATTTCATTGTTCAGAGCTAACAAATAAATGTCTGTCATGAAAGTTCATGAGTTTGTTTGGGTTTCAAACCCAAGGTCAAACTGCGGGCACTCACAAAGGAAGCACGTGGCTTGCCTTTAAAAATTGTAACTTTCGGCCAGCTCGGCTTGCTACTTGCTGCCAATAATTATAACATTCAGCCGTTAAAGGTTAAAGTGAGAAACCAATTTCCATACCCACACACAGACACACACAAGTAGAACAGAGTTCTGCCTATATGTAAACATCATGTACTCCAACAGCAGACGGAAACAGAGTAGATTCTGAACAGAATAGTAGCAAGCATTTCCCACATTTTAATCTCCTCTGTTTCTTCTTGAACGCAACTGGGTTCATCAATTCGCTGTATTCTGTTTCATGTGTATTGCTGTTACACAGAATAGCAGCAGTACACCACAATCAACGGGGAACAAGAAGCAGTCCTCTTGAGACACACTGGAAAAATTTACACAAAATTCCCTATTCACCATACTGGAGAAGTTCTGTGTCACAGATGCAGTTCAGAGAGAACATGCAATTTTGTGACTCAGATATGCCTAACAGTGAACACAAATGGAACATACAACTCACCTCATGTTCAGCCTTTATTTCTACAAATGTCATTGGCACGGGATCCTCATCTTCAACATCTGAGACTTCCTCGACTTTTATGTTGACAGCCTGATCACCACTGGGCGATGATGATGCATGTGACTCACTATGTGAGCCTGGTGCATTTTCCTGTGAATCCAAGCGGTTCTGTAAAACCACAATATCCTTATCAGTCATGTCTATAATGTCATTACACAGAACAGCATACACTTCCATTGCGTCCCCATTTCTGCACTGCATCAAACTCATAACCACTGCGCTCTATTGGTTTTCTTCTTTGCAACCATGGGGATGAGAATAAGAACAGGAAATTCTGGATTTGATTCAGATATGCCTAAAATTGGACACTTGGGGCAAGGGCACACCAAGGAAACTGGAAACCACAATGCAACCACAATTTCCAAGAACTGTTATCAGCTTGAGTTGATTACATGTTATTGAATGGAGCAGCAGAAATCAAGGAAATGGTAATGCAGCTGTTCTACAAACACCCTTCAGTGATTAATTTGTTTCTTAAGATTGCATGAAAGTTTGACGAAGCTGCTAATTTTGTTTCTGTGCAGTTAACTGAGCAAGAGCCTGGTATATACGGCAAACGCCACCAAGACTCTGTTTGGCAGGACAAAATATATTTGACTTCGGAAAGAATTTATCATTAGAGTCTGGATCCTGGTCAAGTTCTTTTGAAACAATATAAGCTCCTCAGTTTAAATTGTAACAGAAGAACAGATGCACCCAACGTTTTCTTTTCATAATACTGTCTTTATGCATCCTGTTGCAGTAATATCTCTTTTATTTTATTTATATTTCCATCTTAAATGCAATTTATTATACAGTCACCCTTCTTCCACATTACATGGTTCGGCTGTATACAGCCATCATCAGGTGTCTTCTACGTATCTTCCTAAAATAGTTGCACCGTATGTCAGAATTTTGTATCGCAGTGTGAACACAATATTTCCTGATTAAAATAAATTGACCTTAATTTAAGGAAATTAACATCCGAATATTTTCCTTACAGCCGTCATCCTCTCTTCTCACGCCATCTCAACCGGTCTCAACTACCACCACATTATGACAGGATCAGTATTATCATCTTCCATCGCAAAAGGTAAGTGCACAAAATTAAAAAATACAATCATGCATTACATCGGACAAATACAACCACTTAAGATGATGTGAGTAACTACTCAAACATAAGTTTCCTCAGAGTGCACCTGCTAAACTGGAAACTACCTGCCTGCTTGAAATTGGTGCCTTTTCTTGCAAATTGCAGTTGCCAGTTTCCTTTGTGTGCCCTCAGCCAAAGACATGTAACTCACCTCATGTTCAACCTTTATTTCTACAAATGTCATTGGCACCGGATCCTCACCATCTTCCACATCTGAGACTTCGACTTTTATGTTAACAGCCTGATCACTATGAGATGATGATGCACATGCCTCACTATGGGAGCCTGGTACATCTTTCTGCAAATACAAGCAGTTCTGTAAAACCATCATAGTCAAGACTGCAACGTTATTGCACATTCCCACAACAACTGCGCACTGCATAAAACTGCTAACCACTGTTTTCTACTGATTCTTTGCTTTGCTGTTTCTCTCCCTGGCTATAGAGCCCTTTGGACCTTGGCTGCTTTTTCAGTTTCTTAATCCTATGAACAGACGGTAGGATTCCTTGGATGGGTAATTAGCCCATCACAGGGCCACTACCTACGTGCAGAACACAGAAACAGAATAGACACACAGACATCCAAGCCTCCAGTAGGATTCCAACCCACAATCCCAGTGTTCAAGTGGGCAAAGACAGTTTATGCCTCAGACCACGCAACCACTGCGACTGGCATTTCTTCTTCACACCTACCAAAATCATTAGTAACCACTAACACCATACAGCAGAGTCCTTGTTGGTGCATGACCTTCATGGAAACTAATGCTTCATTACTGTGTTCGCTACAGCTTTTTGCCCGTACCCAGTCTGAGCTAAACAATTCAAGTCGATAACCTCCCATATTATTTCTTTCAGATCCATTTTAACAGTTGCCTGTCATCCATACATACAACTCCCACCTGCAATCTTCTCTTGTGAATTTCTACCCAGATACCTGTATGAATGTCTTGTCCCTCACAAACATGACACATGACCTGCCCCTCACATCTTCCTTGAATTCATCATGCTAATAATACAGAAGACACTAAGCCCCACAATGTGTGCACCCATTCTTACAAAACTGAGGAACTAGAAATAACTTTTACAAGGTTTGGAACTTTAATAGTGGCAACTATTTATTTACAACTGATACAAAATAGATGCATGTTTTGAAGTTTACTGTCCTTCAATGTAGTCACCAGCACTGTGTACAACCCGTTGCCAGCAATGTAGAAGCCGTTGGATACCTTTAGCAGCGCCTGTTGTGTTGATAGTTCGAATGGAGCGTTCTACTGCCTGAAGAATCTCTGAACAACTCGGAAGCGAAGGCCACAAAGTGGTTCCTTCATCTTAGGAATCAAGTCAAAGTCACAAGGGTTAAGTCCGGGGAGTACGGTGGATGGTACAGCACTTCCCAGCCCCATCGATCAAACAAATCAGCCACAGCTTGCGCTGCATGTGGCCAAGCACTGTCCTGCAAAATGATGGGTGAGTTCTGCAGAAAGTGTCGCCACTTCTTTCTCAAAGCTAGTCGCAGGTTCTGTTCCAAACGTGAACAGTAATACTGTGCACTGACAGACTGCTGTTGGGGAACAGTATGTGTTAGGATAACACCATCATAGTTGTACACAAGAATCACCATAACTTTCACATTGCTGGGGTTCTGACGAACTTTTGATTTTCATGGTGACCTGTAATGATGCCATTCATTCGATTAGCGTTTCGTTTGTGGCTCACACGATTTGGCCCATGTCTCATCCAACATAATAATATGCTGTAAGAAAGCCTCTCCTTCACACTCATAGCGCTCCAAGTGGTCACGAGCAGCGTCATATCATAGCCATTTCTGTCAAATCATGCGGAATCCATCATGACGCAATTTTTCTCTTGCCCAGGCGTTCCTTCACAATGTGAAGCACAGTCGTACGCACTAATCCTGTCTCTCAGGCCAGGTCACAAATCATATGGTGTTGATCACTCTCCAGTAACGCAGACAATAGGAAAACCTGACCAACGCTTGTCTGCCACATTTTGGCGTCCCTCGTTGAAGGCTTTTACCCACCTTGCCACTGTTCTGTAAGGCAATGCAGATTCCCCGCAAGCCTCTTGAAGACCTTGATGACACTGTCGTGCTGTACGGCCTCTGGCACATTCAATCTTTATCCAACTCCACTGTTCCTGTTTTGAAAACATCGTGACAACACTACATTAGACTGCCAGCTGTCACGAGGCCCTATTCTTCTCGTCACTGTGCATGTGCGTGATGTTGGAAGGGAGAGTCCATTTGCTCTGAGGTAAGGTAGGTATGTAACTAATGTGTGGTGTGACATTATTTGGTTCCGTTGCATGGCGTCTCTACAGCAGTGCTGCCACTATTAAAGTTCCAACCCTCGTAACAGAAGCTTGTAACAAAGTGTTCAGTTCACTGACCATGTAAATACATGTAACAAGACCGTAATATTATTTTCTGGGAGCAGAAGCACAGAAGACTCACCATCATTTGTTTTACAGCAGGAAATATTTCCTCAGCTTTCTGTAATACAATTTTTGGCAATCTTGTTGCAACAGACTGCAGAGTCTTTTGTGAGCCTGAAACTTGATGATCACACATGATGGACAGTCCGTTGAGTCAGAAAGTGGCTTACAAGAATCCTAGTGATATAGCCACAAAGTTCTGATGTGTGTACCAGTATGTGACTAGGATTATGCAACCAAGTTCTGAAAGGGAACATACTGATTATGAATGGTGTTAAAACATTCATATGACACTTTAAGGAAACATATACTTACATGGGATATTATGTTCTGTCAGTGGAGGCTGTGGGGCCTGCCATTTCTGGGGTTTGTTAATTTGGTAGTTATTAGTGACATTTAGCAAGAGGTTCCTGCCTTGGAAACATTAATAATCCTGCAGCCTACATAACAACAAATCTCTGTAGACAGTAATCTATATACTTAAGGAGAGGATACACGTACATTCACTACATTTGGATACACTGCAATTTCAATTACTTCACCCTACGCTTTGAGCTCTCGAACTTCTTTTTAAGGAAATGTGGACTGGCATGCCTAACTGATGGGGAAAAATATAAAATGGTTAAATATTCAAAAAATAAGAAAGACTAAGCTCAAAAAAAAAGTTGAGAAGTTTAGAAGAATCACAGTAAAGAAGAGGCAGGAAGTATAATTTATGGGAACACAGCAACAGCATATCCACAGGAAGAGCAAACTCCATTCCTTTGCAATATTATATTTAAGCATCCTGTTGCACTCTACACGATAAATGATACAAACTCCGTCCTAAGTGCAAACAATATAAATTTATATGTCTTTGATCTTGTTCTTTCTACACTACATGTTTCGGCCTCTATCGGCCATCATCAGGTGTATACTTTTAACGTTGCTGCCACACTGAACCCAGTCTAAAACTTAACATTTAAAAACACAATGTCACGTTCTTCGTATTATCAACATCTACATCGTTGATATGTGTCTGGTATGTAGATTATGTTGCACACGTCAAACCCGATATTCTTGTAGTAGCACTCTAAAAATCTTTAGTTATGATGTTTTTAAAATCTTTTAAAATTTTCTCTAAATTTTAAATTTAAAATTNCATAACTAAAGATTTTTAGAGTTCTACTACAAGAATATCGGGTTTAATTTTAAATTTTAAATTTAGAGAAAATTTTAAAAGATTTTAAAAACATCATAACTAAAGATTTTTAGAGTGCTACTACAAGAATATCGGGTTTNTTCACTACATTTGGATACACTGCAATTTCAATTACTTCACCCTACGCTTTGAGCTCTCGAACTTCTTTTTAAGGAAATGTGGACTGGCATGCCTAACTGATGGGGAAAAATATAAAATGGTTAAATATTCAAAAAATAAGAAAGACTAAGCTCAAAAAAAAAGTTGAGAAGTTTAGAAGAATCACAGTAAAGAAGAGGCAGGAAGTATAATTTATGGGAACACAGCAACAGCATATCCACAGGAAGAGCAAACTCCATTCCTTTGCAATATTATATTTAAGCATCCTGTTGCACTCTACACGATAANATTCCTTTGATTGCTCACTAGCAGCAAGTAGCCTATAGATGACATTTACACAAAACTAGTTTAAATCAAAACAATTAAAATAACATGTTAATTGAAACAAAACAGGAATGAGAAATGAGGAAGTATCCTTAAGTAAATACCATATTTATTAGAAATACATAAAAAAAACTGTGACCCATCTTAATGAGGAACTGTGTCTTCTGTGGTCTATTTTACTATGACCTTGGTGGTGAATATATATAGTGCTTAACGGATATATGAAGCACGATACGTGAAGGAACTATATCACTTGCCTGGAGGGACCAAAAGAACCACGAAAACCTAGACAGAATAGCAGGTATGACAGCCGAAATTCGTACCGCGGATATCCCAAATACGAGTCAACACCGTTATGTCTACAACTGGCTCGTTTATGAAGCTTTGATGCATTACTCATATTAAATGTGGAAAGTCCTTATATGTGCTCAGTGGGTACAAACCAAACCGCATCCACTGCTGAACGTCAACCAAAAATAAAGAATCGAGATATCGTCGCCGATATGTTTCTTACAATTTAAACGATTAAAAATATGATAACAATTACTGGAAACATCTGCCTAAGCTACTAGGCTGTAATGTATATTTGAAAATTTCTTTGTATGCTTTCCAGCCCAGTTTCCAATGTAAGCTTATTCCGGGCAACCTATGCATATTTAAACTTAGATCTAATTAAGACCATAAATTATATGTAGCAACAGCAATAATACAAACCACAAAGGTGTTTTCTGGTGAAGATTCATTGTCATATTTGGATGAAACCCACCTCCTTTCGATACCGTTACGACCGTTACACCAACTTTCGGAGTCATTCACACGCGTTCACACGTCGTACATCACAGATTACGTACATGGCGTACATGCAGTTCATGCACGTGTACAATTCTATGTTCACCATTGGGAACTATGCACTATATTTACTGCTGTGCCATCTATCAGCCACGCTTGTGAAAACCGAACGGCGCTGAAGGCGGTAAAATAATAATCCAGTCGGTATGATTCGACGTTCATGGCTCTTACGGCCCGTACCTTTAATTTCAGTTTGAGCTGTACGTACTACAGCGACAGAGGCGGTGGATAAGTCGGTAAGAAAGTTCAATCTCCATGATATTCCCCCCAAATTTTCTATTTATTTATTATTCATTTATGTTTTATTTACTTGTAGTGTCAGCAGAATAGATGGCAACGGTGTCCCAAAAAATAATTAATTAAGCACCATGCCTTGAGACACGGGGGGGGGGTGATGATATTAGCACATTTCTTGACATCGACACTAGATGGAGGTGAGTGGTTAGTTTCGCGCCGTTGCCGCTTTAGACCCGGATAAAGAGCCACCGGTATCCATTGGTTATGAGGATGGATGAATCCCATTGCCGGCGTGAGTGTTATACAGACAAGGAAAATGTTGCCCCTTCCGGGAATCGAACCGTGGCTCTTCGGTCCATAGCCCATTGCCATACTAACTCAGCAAACCACCTCAGAAATATGCTACCAAGTGAAAGGACTAATAGTGAATAATGAGTTGAAAATTATGTGGAGGGATGAGGTCTTGTCCTAATTTAGGACCTTATCCGGGGATTTACTTGAGGAGACTAAGGAAAACCATGAAAAACCTCTGTTAAGACAATGCTCCTATTTCTGTGAGGTAGGGACATTATTTGTAAACATTGTTCACATAAATTTCACATTTTGAAGGAAGCATGCAGAACTGTAGTTGGTTGAGGCAACATGCTACAAGGTAGAAGGTTGCGGGTTCGATTCCCGATGAGGTCATTAGATTTTTCAATCGACCTATTCTTCCAGGTGCACTAAGGCCCTGGGGTCGACTCAGCCTCTGACAGAAATGAGTACCAGGAATCTTCCTGGGGGTTAAGGGCAGCTGGTGCATAAGGCTGACAACCTAACCACCATCTGTAAGTCACCTGTCTAGAAAATATGGGAGCTTTAATGTCTCACAACTGTATGGGCATCCACAGCCTGACACCTTCACCGTTTAGCACTACACTGACATGACATATAAGTTTCTTGTTCTTGCTGCTTTATAAAGGAGCCTGACAAAAAGATGGATGTGCCCCAGATCATGTTTGGATATGATATGATGAAAAAAATCCAATCCTCTGTATCGAGTGAAACCCTGCTTGTCCAGCCCGCAGCCAATCATTTTGCATACTGAATTGTTCTAGCTCATTAGCCAAGGCAGGAAGTGAAATAATTTAAAAAATCTTTCAAGATAATGTTTTTCTACTCCAGACATGATATAACTCCAGAAACTATTGCTGGTTTGCCCTCTTCACCTTTCATTTTCCAATTTGTATTATTCTATGCACCACACTTTCCATCACTGTTTATCAGTTGCTAAAATAATTAAAAGTATATACATTTTCAATCAGAGCTCTGTTTCATATGAGTACATATTTTATTTCTAATGTGCTGGCTCTAAATCCAGATAAAATAAATATAATAAAAGTTGTACCAAGTAATTCACCACAGCATCTGATAAACACTGAATATAATGACAAATACATAAAATGGTCAGAAAACACAAAATTCTTTGGTTTACAAATTGATAACCACGTATACTGGAGAAATTATATTGATCAGTTGGTTTCTAAGTTAAGTGGAGTAAGTTATGCAGTTACATCTATGTTACATGCCAGCAACTCTAACCCTCTGAAATCAATTTATTTTGCCCCTGTAATGAAGTATGGAATATTTTTCTGGGGTAACTCATGTAACAGAAAGAAGATACTTAAATTATAAAAGAACATTTTTAAGAATATGGCAATTGTCAAACATAGAATTTCATGCTGTGGTCTATTTAAGAGATCAAAGACGTTACATCTTCCATTTGAATATAAATTTTAGTTAACAAACTGAATTGTAAATAACCAACAACATTTTCAGACTAATTAAGCTGTATAGTGTATTAAAGCAAGGAACAAGCACTAACTTCATAGACTAACTGCCTACTTTTCATGTTTTCAGGAAAGTGCATACACTGCTGATAACAAAAATTTCAGTAAACTACCTCTATTCTTAAAATTCTTATGAATAAAAAGGTACAATTTAAAGTAACACTAAAAAATATGCTTCAAATTGCACTCATTCTATTTTGCTGATGAATTTCTAATGTCTGAAAGTGACTCATAATCTTCTGAAAGATTTATACAAATAGGATAAGTGGATGTTATTGAAGCACATATGTGTGCATCTATTTCAAATATTCATTTTTTTATGAACCCTCTGCAAATTTCTTATTTTTTATGTGAAAGCTTCAGTTGTGCTGTATTGATACATTCGGTGTATTTATGACTTACTACACAACCTCTGATCATTTCTGACTAACTCTGGATCCATGGAATGTAATGCATATATGTATGCATTCTTAAGTGCAGAAAAGGCTTTTATTTAGTGACAATTATGTATACAGCATGTTATACAATATTTTTCTTCTGTATTTTGGAAAAGGGCATGAGTCAGGAAAGCAAATTTTGCAGGAAACATAAGAAACTGAAATGGAAGTGAACAATTGTAAAGAGACCTTCTCCAGTAGCTTGAAGGCCTGCCTTCACTGCTATTCATAATTCTGATAACTGTATAGCTCATAAATCATATTCAGTGTTATTGATTCATGCTCATTTCCAAGGGAATAAAAATTTAAAATCCACATCTCCAAATCACCTCTATTTATGAAATAATATTCTTACACTACAACTATTGCTGTGTGCATGGACTGAACTCTCTGTCATCTCACAAATGTATAAGTAAAGCCAAGTAAGGTAAAACAAATGTTTCAAAATGATTGCCTTATACAAACAGACCATACACATCAAAATGGAATACTGGAATAACAATATTTTTCCATAGATTCTGTGTGTGCATGCCTGTACATAATTTATTTAACTCAGTTTCATGAAAATGCCAACTAATATTCTTTTAAAAAATGAACTATCAAATTATAATATATTTGACTGTATTGGAATCAAATTACATGTTTGGTACTCTAATATTAACAGCTTAATGTCATACAGAGAAAGTTTACATGAAGAAACTTTGCTGTTATACATCTGCCATTACTGTCACTGACCAAAGAAGTCAGTAATATTTCTCAGCCAGAATAAATAATGTATCGTATCATTAACAACATGAATGCCATCCACTCCTGCAAAAAAGAAAGAACATAATTATTTAAATATCTTGAATTTATCTTGACTTAATTGCAAGCCCATCATGAAATATAAATAATATTTTCTTCAGAATGGTAGAATTGGAAAATTCACGCTTGGAGTGATATTAGAAAGGTGAATCTCGTTTACATATGATGTCTGTCTGTTCCCTGGATATATGTATGCAATGTTGTGTAAAAGAAGGGGACAGGAATTCATGAAAGGCTGATATCAATAAATCAGGCAATGGTTCTGACAGCATGCCCTAAAGAGTTATAAGAAATGGAGAGGTGAGGATGTGGAGAGGACACTGTATTTATCTTAGTCAGGATAGTTCAGCAGTGAGCTCTTGAAGTAACACAGCATTAATGGTTTTTATAAAAGGTGCAGAATTTCTTGATGATTTCAGTGATAGTTCAGCAGTGAGCTCTTGAAGTAACACAGCATTAATGGTTTTTATAAAAGGTGCAGAATTTCTTGATGATTTGAGTGACTATTGGCTTCGAAAGGATTTTATTCCAGTCAGTTGCCTAGTTATTATAATACTCATGTCTATCAGAATCAATAAATTTTATGGAAATATTGCACAAGATATTAATGTTGTATTTTAGTATCATTTTAAATTTTATTCAAAACATATACCTGTGAGGTCAACGCTCAGTGAGATTTGCTCAGAAATGTTCTTAAATCCTTAAGCAATGTCAGCCTTCAAATTAATTAAAGTGAGTGCACTTACAATGCAAAACAAATATACTCTTCTATAAAGCACATTTTAAACAAATAATGGCATATAACATTGATCTATGGACCCTTAAAATGTCAGACAGAAGCAAAATCCAAGCAGTGGGCATTACATTTTCTTATATACTAATATAGTGGGATGACATAGGAAGGGATAGAATGAGAAGTTATATTTGTTGTGAATAAGCTTCAATACAGGATTTGATAATACACATTAGAATAAATTAGAACAGAACTTATAGGGAAGATACTTATATAACAACATATAAAAAAGGAGAGTTTGACAAGGACTGCAGGACATAAAAAAGAGAAGGAAGAGCTGAGAAGGAACTGGAAAAAAAAATCATGCAACAGAAGAAAAGACTGAAGACTTTTAATCCATTGTCCCATATAAAACATAGAAGTTGCTACAAGAATGACTAGACTAGAAATTTATGCTTGATAAAATTTGTATAATATCTTCAAAATAAAAATCTCTTAGAGGTTTCTAAGATACATGTAAATATTCAATCAAACCCTTGGATAAGATGGTCCTTAAACTGAATTAAATTTAATGAAACTTACTCACTTACTTACTTACTTATGGAGCTGAGTCCTTCTTAAGGAGCCGCTAAATTTGCAGCTACTCAAGAATTTTGCAGCATTTTATGGAACCCGAGGGTTCATTACTGTGTTCACAAGAGCCATCCACTGGTCCTTATCCTGAGCCAGACCCATACAAACCATACCATCTCATCCTATCTCTCTAACATCCATTTTAATATTGTCCACCCACCTACACCTTGGTCTTCCCAGTGATCTCTTTCTTTCTCGCGTTCCCACCAATATCCTACTTGAATTCCTCTTCGCCAAATTCGTGCTGCATGCCCTACTCAACTCACCCTCCTTGACTTGATGGTTCTAATTATACTTGGAGAAGAGTACGCATTATGGAGCTCCTCATCATGCAGTTTTCTCCAACCTCCTGTCACTTCATCTCTCTTCGGTCCACATATTCTCCTCAACACCCTGTTCTAAAAAATCCTCAGTCTATATTCCCTTTGTCAGAGACCAAGTTTCATACCCATACAGAACCACGGACAAAATTATAGTTCTGCTTATTCTAATTTTTATGTTTTTGGACTGAATGTTTCGATCTCCTCTTAATTTCCTCCCGAATCAGGTTTTGATTTGTTTCGTCATTCCCAAATATCTGAACTGTGCCACATTTTCAAAAAATCTGATTCCTATCATTATGTCATGATTTTGCCTGCATTTTAATGATGAGACAGCAACATGTACTTAGTTTTCTCTGTGTTTACTTCTAGACCAACCTCCTTACTTATGTCAATTATCTAATATTTACATAACAAAAGTACTGCATGTCCTGTGTTGTATCCTAATCTGTTGAAAGGCTCAGAAAATGTACATATAAGATCATATAGCTCTTTAAGTAACACTGTATTTATAAGACTCCAAAGTAAGTTAAAATCAAAATATTTCTACATAATTATTTTGAACAAAATTGGTTTGGCAGTCTGGGCGAAATCGAAAATACAACTAACAGATCATTTGAAAATGTTCGAGGAGATTCAACAGGAAGACATCGATACGGGAGAAGACCAGGGCGGAGATCAGATCAGTGATCAGCGAGAGAAGCAAGAGGAGAACCGACAGAAGTCTTCGTGTGGCGTAGTTACAAGGAACATTAGAGTTTGTCTATTGTTCATGGTTACAAAGTGTGAAGCTGATCACTCACCTCCAACTTGTGCCAAGGTCAAGAATAAGTGTACAGTAAACCCTGGCTAATCGAATTAATGGGGTGGCTCTTCCGGATTATTTTGGATTAATGAAGCAAAAGTGCCCGAAAGGAAACAAACGAATGAAAAAATTAATAACATAGATAGTGCTGATGAAAATAAAAAAATATCACTGCAGAAATTTCTTCCTCTGCTAGAAGCTGAAACCCAGGGTCTCAGTCATCCAGCTCAGGACAGTCTTGGGTATTTTTTTGCCTCGTTTCAGTCTCTCCAACTGCCCTCAACACAGCCTGAAAGTCCTCTTGCTCCTAAACCCCAAGTGTCTTTCAAAGTATGTACTCAATTGTGAACTGGGTACGCGGTAGGGTAGTTGGTTGAGGCACTATGCTACAAGTCGGAAGATCGCGGGTTCGATTCCCGATGAGGTTATTGGAGTTTTCAATTTATCTAATCCTTTCAGCCACACTACGACCCTGAGGTCGACAAAGCCTCTAAGAGAAATGAGTACCGGGAATCTTCCTGCGGGTAAAGGGCGGCCAGCACGTAAGGCTGACAACCTTACCGCCATCTGTGAGCCGATTGTCTAGAAAATGTGGAAGCCTCGACGACTCGCAGCCATATGGGCCTCTACGGTCGGTTACAGGGATAGATTTACGTTTCTCTTTACCTTTTTACTCAACTGTAAACAGACTTCATTCTTCATATATCGATCAGGATTAACCGCAAAAGGATTAGTGAGAGTTTACTCTGTGTATTCATCCACTCCACGGTGTGTCTTCATGGCGCAGTTAAGCACAGGACCACTCTGCCTTTACTCACTGTAGAGGAAACCCAGGCACAAATTGGATTCAATCAGCACGGTATCTACAGCAATATATACAAACCAGCTGGGGAGAGGTACTGTGAAGATGGAGGGTTCAGTGGTTTTGGAGGGCTTTCCAACGCGAAGAATAACCAGAAGATGGAGGTCGATTTGTCCTCTGAATGACCTCCTATGCTCGTAATGTAGTGGCCATATTGAGAACAAGTTGCCTCGAACCTGAAACAGGAAAAGTGCACGAAAGTGTGAGTCAGCACAACCAGGGTTTAAATCATAGGCGTCGCCAGGAATATTCCCCCGGGGGGGGGCGGTAAGGCAGAAACTTTGCATGCAAACTGACGTTTCAACCGTTGAAGACTGCCTTTACCGATCACCGCAGAGTATTCTGGATAAAAACAAATCTTTAAATACTTTTAAATTTTGGTATTCATGCATTTGTCATATTTCCTTCTAACTTCGATGTTAATTGCATTTCCAACAAGAAGTACTGGGAACAATTAATCGTCTACTTTCCTTTGATACGACACGGACAACACAGAAAACGATGTTTCCAGCAATTCTTCTGTTGTGTACTTGTTGCCGCGGTATCGTTGCCTAGCAACGGTAGGAGGGATACACATATACGAGTAGACGACAGAGAGATTGTTGAGACGGGCTCATGTGCCATGAAATGTATATACCAATATTCATAAAGTTTAGTTCAGGCATTCAAAATTTCGTAAGGGGAGGCACACGGACACACAGAAAACATGGTAATCCCATACGGCTACTTTAATTGTTTCAAAATAAGGAATGTGGGCTAAAAACCCGAGATTGTCGACGAAGATAATGGTTCTTTGTAGACTTCATTTTCGGAGCTTCCGTCGTAACCACTGTCAAAATCATCTGTACCGCAGTCTGAATCTGTATCACTCAACTGACTTTCAATTTCATCTTCTTCCAAACGAACTGAGGCCATTAAAGTACGTAGAGACGACTCAGGTCAGAGTACACAATGTGAACTTCAGAAGGCTGTGACGTAACGTCGCAAGAATTTACTAAGTGCGCTACAACGAACCGGCAACGTCTGTAATCTGAGAATATGATTCAGGAGAAACAAATATAAACTTCCTCTCCCCCTAAATGATAAGTCAGGAGCCAACATTTATACTGCTGAAACGTATTATGCAGGAGGTATACGCACAATTGTAGGCAAACGCTCGAAATTAAAACAAAACAAAAAAAATTGAATAAGTGTAAGAATTTTTAAGATTTTAAAATTTGCCAATTACAATATCTGATTCTATATTCTTTCTAGATAAAAGCAACGTTAATTTCGTTCGTTCACCACAAAAATTGTATAATTTATAGCATTTTTAGTAACATGGGCACAAATTTAATCCTCTAGAGCGGTGGGCATTTAATCAAGAAAAGGTGAAAAGCTTACGCCGTACTCACATGAAATCATTATTCACTTTCCAATATCTGAAGAGTACAATTTTCTGAGCTACAAAGCAGCGTGGTACACCGACGTTTCGAAGGAATATGTTGCCTCCATTTTCAGGATTTAATAAAAAGCTCTGCTTGCCGCCGGATTCTTGGTGGTTTCTTGTCCGCCTTACTCTTTAACGCTGAAGAGGGCGGTGTGTTCTTCCGAAACGTTAGTGGACTACACGGCGTTACAACTCAGAAGACTGAACTCGTCACAGTGATCACCGTGACAATGTCAAAGCCAGTTCTCAGATATCTTCCTCCTTCCGGTTGCACTTCCCGACACTTATTGCTGCTTCTGTATGTTTCTGTTGAATCTCCTGGTGACTATTATTCTGCCGCACACTAAAAAGGTAAAGCTATCTCTGTAACAGCTCGTCGAGACCCATAGGGTTGTGAGACGTCGAGGCTCCCACATTTTCTAGACAATCGGCTCACAGATGAGGGTGAGGTTGTCAGCCTTACACTCCGGCCGCACTTAAGCCCCAGGAAGATTCCTGGTACTCATTTCTGTTAGAGGCTGGGTCGACCGCAGGACCATAGTGCGGCTGGAAGGATTAGGTCATTTGAAACATCCAATGGTCTCATCAGGAACATAACCCACGACCTATCGGCTTGTAATCTGCATTAACTGGCTCAGGATGAGGTGCGGTGGCTGATACGACTAGGTTGAAGAACCGTCAGAATCATAACAACAGGGTGTTTACTAGGTGGGGTGGAGCACCAAATGAATTCATCACTCACAATCACAGCACCAAATTCTGTTGTGTTACATAACCAGAGCAGTAGAAAACTTACTTACTTACTCATGGAGCTGAGCCCTTCTTGAGAAGCCGCCAATTCTGCAGCTACTCAAGAATTCCTCAAGATTCTATGGAAACCCAAAAGTTCATTACCGTGTTCACAAGAGCCCTCCACTGGTCCCTATCCTGAGCCACATCAATCGAATCCATACCATCCCATCCTATCTAAGATCCATTTTAATATTGTCCACCACCAACATCTTGGTCTTCCCAGTGGCGTTCCCATCAATATCCTATATGCATTCCTCTTCTACCCCATTCGTGCTACATGCCCTGAACACCTCATTCTCCTTGACTTGATCGGGCTGACTGCTCTAGAATTTTGTCAACTTACCCAAAATTCCCTGGATCATTTTCTCCTGCAGCTTCCATCACACCATAGAACGGTGTGAATCGCTTTACAGTAACATGAGTGGTGTGGCTCTCCTGTATATTCGTGCCAATCCAGATTGTGTATGGTACTGTGATATCTTCAGTAGAATAACAACTATCGATTTCTGAAACACCCTGTACTTTCGCAGTTGTCAAAATGACAAATAAAAGTAAGAGATACTGCATGCCGTAATATGCTAATTTTATTTTGCAATTCTGAAAACTATAAACAAACAAGCCGTAACTGAACAAGTATAGTAACGGGAACCTAGCCGCTCTTCTTATATAGCGAATCACTGTCTTATTGGGTCATGCGCAGTAGCAGATATGACAAGATTAATCGCTAACGGTTCATGGTTTATGATGTATTTCTTTACAGATATTTTTCTTATTGATATATTTAAGCCAAAATATCACTGCAACAAATATTTATGTTTCACTTAGGAACACGACTACGAACTTAATAAATATAAAAAAGTTTGGAACTTCTGTTCGAGGCACGAAATGTCCTTAAACTTATTTTAAACGTCACTTTATCACACCCCTTCGTGAAAAAACTGGTTTTATATGACGTATTGGATGTTAATAGTTATAACCTATTAAGCATATTCACTCGAAGAAATACTTTCAAATACAGCAAACCCTGTTGTTTTTTTCTCTATGTTTCAAATACGAACGTCAATTTCGTTTCGGTTTTTTTTTTACTAAATTCACCATTTTCTTCCCCTGCGATTGGTATTTTCATCCTTTCCTTTCGGTGCAGAGGCCGACCATAATGACTGAAGTTTCCCGACCTTTTGCCCTTAGGCCTTCCAGAGAAATGCTACGACAAAACAAAAAAACTCCGTTGCTTGTAGTCCACACGCGAACTATACCGGCCGAGCGACTGCCACTTGTCGGAGAAGTTAGTGCCAACTTTTGCGGATAGAGGGTGTCGCGTGGTCAGAGCAACGAATCCCCACGGCTGGTAATTTTGGTTTTCTAGACCGGAGCCGCTATTTCCTTGAAATAAATCCTCAATTATCCCCACGAGGCTAAGCGGACCCCGTTCCAGACCCACTACTTCTGAGAAAATCTGGTAATGCCGGGAATCGAACCCGGGACTTCTGGATTTGTAGCCAGAAACTGTGACCACTTTGACCACAGAGGCGGTCAATGCCACGACAGTACTTGAAATTAAATCGTCTGCACCCGGGTCCTTGCCAATCGCTCAATCTCTAACCATCCTAACATTCTACGCTGTGTAGTTAGAGCTACTGGAAATATCGCTAAGTATAGCGATTTTTCTAGACTGCGCCACACGTAATGACGGGCCCAAATTGATCGGGGGGGGGGGNCGAACTTCCCGCCTAACTACACTTGTCCCCACGGCACGGCGGGTCCTGGGGTTGCGGATGGTGGAGACTGCCTCCAGATATGGAGCTTAGCTGAGAATATATCGATAAAAACAACAGAGAATAGCCGACAAGAGGTGGTCCTCCAGTTGGGGGGATTTGACGTGGAGCTAAAATCTCGTTACCATAACAAATAATTTAGTTCCGAAATGTCACAAAAGGGCCTCGGATTTGGAAGGATTCTTTGGTAGGAAAGGGGCGGTATGAGCTGGATAGGGACCAGTGGAGGGCTCTTGTGAACGCGGCAATGAACCTTCGGGTTCCACAAAATATTGAGAAATTCTTGAGTAACTACGCAACTGGCGACTTCTCACGAAGGGCTCAACTCCATGGAGTTAGTTATTGGCTCCAGTCTTAGCCAAGACGTCAGCTGTCATGACAGTGGTTTTCTTCAGTCCCTCCAGACATGTGTCGGCACAGTACTTCGAGTAGGTCAGAACCGTCTCCTTCCAAGTCCTTCTCTATTCAGTTGTACCATTGGACGGTACTGCGAGCATCGAGATACGATTGGCTCCGCGAGCTGAAGAATGGGATGGGCAGGGAACTGTTTAGGCTTGTTTCAAGTTAGCGCTCGTCTGGAAAGTCAAGGAGGATGAGGTGGCCAGGGCATGTAGCACGAATGGGGGAGACGAGGAATGCGTATAGGATATTGGTGGGGAAACCAGAAGGAAAGAGACAACTTGGAAGACCAAAACGTAGGTGTGTGGACAATATTAGAATGAATCTTAGAGAGACAGGATGGGATGGCATGAATTGGATAGATCTGGCTCAGGATAGGGACCAGTGGAGGGCTCTTGTGAACACGGTAATGAACCTTCGGGTTCCATAAAATGCTGGGAAATTCTTGAGTAGCTGCAGAATTGGCAGCTCCTCCAGAAAGGCTCAGTTCCATGAGTAAGTAAGTAAGTAAGCGCTGAGGAACTTCCTGGAAAGTTCCCCGGCTGAGACTGTGTAATGTGAACTGGCCCAGTACAATACAACGGCACCCAAGGCAAGCGAGCCCCAAATGCCAAATGTGGGGGTGATAAGAAACGGCGTGAGGTTATCTTGTCACGAGGCCACTGGTAAACAGGAGGTGTAAGCGCTCGGTCTGTCACAACAAGTGAGTATTTGTGAACATATTTTCTCTGAAGAGGACTGTATTATAGCGTGTGACTCCATGTCATCCGGAAGATGTTTACTCTACCGTTTCGCAGAAACGTAATGCCTCCATCTTCACTGTTGAACAGCGAGCCAAGCAATACCCTCTCCAATTTTCACAACTTGTCACATGCAAGAATTTTGAATTCTCTCTTGATTACGGTTACTAGCGCATTTATCGTGCCCATCAAAAGCTGGGCTAATAACCGTTAACAAGAAGAAATTCACGACGATTCTTGTTTGTGACCACGTGTAGTCTGGTAGTTGTGGTGACCACAACTGGGAACTGGGGAGCATGATTCTTGTGGTTGCTTACTTGCTCTGCCTCTAGACCCCAAAGGTGGAGGCATTGGTTTACTCCGAAATTTCGGCAAGCCTCTACCAGGCTACACTGCGGCACATGCCAGAAGACAGTACCCTTCATCCGCCGTTAGAACCTCGGACTCGAAAAACTGAATAATCCAACGATTTGTTTTCAAGGCTTGAGGATTTACACGGTTGCGATCTTGACACACAAGTTACTGTCTCCTACCACGTGACTCAAGGTAACTGCAATTTGTATTGATGTGAGGGCTACAAACCGCTCAATGCATCCAATGCATTGGCCATTACTGCTTAGTCTACTAAAAGAACAATTTATTTGCAAACAGGAGCTTCAGCATACCCAATTTCTTGACACCCTCTATGTCGTGACAAGAAATTAGGTACGTGTTCCACAGTTGGTATTAGCAGTTTTCCATAGATGGCTTCGTTGTGGAGTTATCAGTCAAAACTAACTGTGGAACACGCGCCTAATTTCATGACAAATTTGAAATTCGAAATTTGTGGGTCTGTCCACGGACACGGCCAGAAAATTTTCAAGGGTGATCGGAGAAACCGTTGTATTTGATTGCGTTTCAGACAATTTTTAACCTAATTTCATAAAGTAGACTTATGTCTCTGTGTCCGTAAATCTCAACCCCCCCCTCATCAAGTTTTGAGTTGCTGAAACAATCTTTATGAAACTTGGTATGTATAACATGGCACCTGAGCCCATCTCAACGGCGTACTTTATAAATCCCTGCCATCAGTCTGCTTGTCTGCCATTAGTCTTTGTGTCTGTATGTGTATGCCTCATTTCGATGCTAGGCAAGAGTTCGGTAAACACGTTTCCGCGGCAACAAATACACGCAACAATAGAAGAACTGTTGGACGCGTCATTTCTATCCGGTCCGTGTCTTATCAAAGGAGAGTCTGTGTGTCTTTCTGTGTATCCCCCTATCGCTGTTAGGTAGTAACTCGGTAAACATGTTCCCGCGGTAAAGGAAAGTTGCTGAAGTGTCGTTTTCTGTGCGGTCCGTGTCATATCAAAGGCGATTAGTTCTTCCCAGAACTTCTTGTTTTTACTGATCTCCCTAGGGTACTAAAAAGATGTGATTATTTTAGAATACTTTTCATTTTGGTATTAGCATTCGGTATATTTAATTCTATTTGCAAGTTTTTTTTTTTAATTCCAAAGTTGTCACGTGCTTGGCCTTTGCCCCTGCCTGCGCAATGAAGTTGCTATATATTTATGACATGTGTTCCTTTAGGAGGAGTTATTTCGTCAAGATGGGTAGAGTTGCCGGACTCTTCAAGTCAGCATCGTTTCTGATCAAGTTGATGGAACTGGTAAGTAAAAGAGAATTCATTGTTCTTCCGTCAGCTCAACATTATCAGGTCAAGATATTTGATCTTTAAGGAGTGGCGTGTAGCATCTTCACCAGGCGCATAAAATGAACACGTGACTGGAAGTTCACGTCTGTATGTCACAAATTTGAACTCCTAAGTCAGGTAGCGTTTTTTTGATTAAAATTGATATAGGAGGTCTACATTTACATAAGCCAATTTTGCTTCGGTCCATAAATTTATCTTATTTTTCTATCATCATTTCCGTTTCGTACCTGTCGATAGACGAAACTTCTCCAATTTCTTCATTCTTCCCACCATATTTCCTTTTCGAATTTTTGGCACATTTTTCCTCTTTTTTTTATGCATTCCAGTACCCTGTCAAAATTATTTTGCTTTGGATCACCCCATAAGTCTATCATCTAAACATTTAACTCTAATGTCCCACTTGATGCCCTTGTTCAGTTTATTTCTTTAAATATTCATCGCTAAATTTATTAACAAAATTTTAAGTGAATTCCAATTTATTCTCTACAAAATTATTTCAAATGCTGTCCCTTCTTGCACCTTCATCATCACTTCTCAAGGAAGCTGAGACGGGCGAACATGAATCCTGCAGTATCATCGCTAATGGAAGGCAGCAAGCAAACTTAGGAAAAGGGCCTATGAATAACGCTCTAAAATGGCGAAGTTTTGAACTTTACAAGTCAACCTATATTCCCACTTCACAATGGGCTGCAATCAAAATTTATGAATACGAGATTTACGACCAGAGTGTGTATATATTGACCGTCTTTTAGTGCATACAATTTCACTTGTCACTTCACACTACATGTTTCGGCATCATTCTGCCATCCTCAGGTGTATGAATCACGTTAAACCATTGCACTGCCTGTCATCAAGTGTCCATTTATAAAATGAGATTTACGACCTTCACTGTAGCCTCCTGACCACCGCTCCTGTAAACACCGACGTTTCGGGGGGAAGAAACGTACTACCTAGAACTTCATATATGTCGGTACCACACAGGGAATTTTTCTCCTGAGTGATGAATTCTTTTCTGATAGTACTCTGATTGTAACAGCAATAGCCGTTAAATAGAGCATGCGCATAGGTGCTAGGCCTCGTGTGTGTGTGAACTTTTTTTGATGTTTTTAATATTTATCTTAACTCTTGCAGATGGTTTATGCTATGCTTGGTTTGTATATCCTATCTTGTGTTGGTGCTGGTTTTCAACACCGTGTGGAGGCGGGGTCGAATACCTCCACCGTAGAACTACGAGTCGTAGGTCACGGAAGGGAAGCCCCGAGTCTGAGACAGTAAAACATGATCGCGAGTCCCACGGTACTCTCATGATTGTTTACGATGAATGTCCATCTGTTTGTGATTTTTGTTAACTGTTTATTCATCTCCATCTAGATCAGAGGTTGAGAAGGCGTGGAGCTACACCTCCACTCCCTATATGTATTCCTGTCGTAGTGCTTAATTAAGAACGGGGGAAACTTTAGTATTCTTTTCAAATCTGTTTATTTTAAATATTGTAGGTTATATCGGTTGTCAGCGTAGGGCTGTTGGCAGGACTGGGTGGAATCGCTACTGACAACCATAAGTTGGCACTCGTGTACGGAACAGTCATTGGATTCATTATGGTCTCTGTCGTTACCATTTGTGCAAACGTTATCGACAACGGTTTGCATCGGACGCTGGTAAGTGATTACGTATTATATGCCTGTTTCCCCTCTCTTCCTCTCTCTTGTCTTTTTTGTTATTGGTTGCATTTGTTGCAGCTGATATGGCTCTCTGACTCTATATGGGCGAACTTAACAATGGAAGTTAAAAACATACACAAATATAAACATTATTAACGAAGAATTATCATTCACTTGTCCAAGATTTCTCTCTTTAGTTTCAGTACTGCTACATATGCACACGTTGTAAGCAGTCCGCACCGTCGCTACGAATCCTCCCCTGAAGGGATAACAAGAGAGTCTCTCTCTCACTCTGTTGACTTGTGTTTTCTTTGTTTCTATTTGTTTATTTTTGTGCCTACTCTGGGTTTGGAGGCAGAAGCTTCCTTAGACATATTAGTGCCTACCAGACTACACAGCGTCACCTCTCTAGACTCGTTTTCGGAAGGAGACCGGTTCGAGTATTGTCAAGGGAACCGGCTATCCCGAGATTTTTAATGGGTTTGCTAGAGTTCTCTACATGAAAATTACTTCCGCTAGGCCATGACTGTTTCCTTCCAAATTCTTCTCTATTCATCTTTCATACATCATACTGCCATCTGACGACATATACTTAACCTAGCTACTGGCAGAGCTCTAAAATAACTCGCAACAAAATGGCGTCACAGCATACACTGCTGCAATATTAGTATTTATGAAGTGAATATGTTAAATCTCACACGCACTACTACTACTACTACTACTACTACTACTACTTCAATTAAATTGTTATTTATTTGAGTGCTAACTCAACAGCTCAAGGGCCAATTACAAACTTAGCACGAGTGAGAGAAGGAAACATACACAAAGAACAAAACAAGGCAATTCATAACATCTGAGTAAGATGGCGATAACACATAGTAATAACAACAAAAATTAAAGTTATAATTTGGAAGCTGATAGTAGTAGCAGTAGTAATAAAATCGGGTAACAGTTTAAAGGCGAGAACGCAAAATTTATGGATTTACAACGATGTACGTAGGCGAGTCAAATGAAAACTTTAAATATTATTTTGAATATTATTTATTGTGCACAGGTGGTACAAAGTTGTATCACTTTTCAACATAATCTCCCCACGCTCAATGCAAGTCCTCCAGCGCTTACAAAGTGCATGAATTCCTTCAGAAAAAAATTCTTTTGGTAGTCCGCGCAACCACTCATGTACCGCGTGGCGTACCTCTTGCCTGTGGTCTCTGACATTAAGGGAGGAACACAGACTGAGGGTGTTTGAGAACAGGGTGTTGAGGAGAATATTTAGACCGAAGAGAGATGAAGTGACATAAGGGTGGAGAAAACTGCATAATGAGGAGCTTCATAACTTGTACTCTTCTCCAAGTATAATTAGAATGATCAAGTCAAGGAGGATGAGGTGGATAGGGCATGTAGAACGAATGGGGGAGACGAGGAATGCGTATAGGATATTGATGGGAAAGCCAGAAGGAAAGAGACCTCTGGGAAGACCAAGGCGTAGGTTGGTGGACAATATTAAAATGGATTTTAGAGAGATAGGATGGGATAGTATGTATTGGATTTATCTGGCTCAGGATAGGGACCAGTGGAGGGCTCTTGTGAACACGGTGATGAACCTTCGGGTTCCATAAAATGCTGAGAAATTATTGAGTAGCTGCAGAATTGGCAGCTCCTCCAGAAGGGCTCAGCTCCATGAGTAAACAAGTGCGTAATGTGAGAATAATGATAACAATTAGGTCCACCTACAGAAGTGCTTGACAACAGGTGAGAGACAAATTGGTTGCTTCACCTTCACACCGTCCGTGTGTGGAAAGTATGCCGATTTATTATTGAGCACTGTATATGGGTTTCATATTCCAGTCTCTTACGTGAATAACAAACGTTCCTTGTGTCCAGATAATGATGATCAGCCTGCCTGCAGCATTCCTCTTCTTCGCTTCCGGAGCCATAATGATCCAGTCTTGGGCCACAGTCTCAGGAGTGTCTTACCGCGTGCTTGTCTCTGGCATCATAGCCTTCTCCAACGGCATCGTCTACCTCGTCGATTCGGCGCTTGCGTACTTCAGATATGGCTAACATTTGTCGGCAATTACGACTACCGATGAGCCCACAGTGGAGGTGCCTTGCGAAACATTGCTTGAAGGTGGTGATGGACCAGGTGAAGACAATGCCCAGAAGAGGTACACGAGAGAGCGCATGCACTGATCCACGGACCGGGTCAATAGGTTGTAGTTTGGGAAATTTCAGGCCAAGAGCTTTAGAACTGGATGTGAAGGTAGTTTTATCTTGCCACTCAGGACAGCGTTCAAGAGACCACGAAGTTTAAGGATCTCTTTTTGTGAGACACAGTGTCCTGCACAGGTGTGGATAGAACTTACATGGGCTCAAAAGATCTGGTTCCCGTGAGATTAAGTATGCGACGAATTCTACTTACTGGCAAACTGGGACATTAATTTATTGATTTGTAACATGTCTTGAATCTAACAGTTTTAAGAATAATCTACCACGCTAGATCTGAGTCACTTATGGCCGTTAAGTCTGGCAAATGGTAGCCAACGTTTCTCAAGGGCGCGGGATGTAATACCGTGTAGTCTGGTAGATAGTTACCAAAATTTCGGAAGAACACGCTGCCTTCATTTTAAGAATATAGAGGCTATATGTCCCTCTTAAATGTTGATAATCATCTACAAGACTACACGGTGTCACATTCTAGAATATTCCAATTTCAGAATTTTCTTTAGCTGTCATTCCTACTTGTGTTTGCGGGACAGATATCTCTGTCAGTAAAGTGAGAGGATTACATGTTGGTCTACTGAGGTTCGACTCTCGGTGAAGGCATTTTTGCAGTCATGTCCAGGGCGTAATCAGCTTCGTATGCCAGTGGTACCTTATGTCCTTTCTCCAAGAGTAATGCGTCGGGATTCTGCGCTGAAGTTTAATATGTGTGAGACTGTACTCCGTTGCCCCCCATACACACATATACACGCTCATACAAGTAATTCAAGTAAAGAGAAACGAGGTGTTATAACCCAGAAAATTAAATTGTTATTGCAAATATTTTCACTAGAATGTCCTGCGAAAACAAAAGTACTAACTGGTCTGCAATGTTCACTTTTATTGAACACTGTAAGTGATAATAACAAGGAATAAGATATGACTTAACGGTAGAATATGTAAAGTTGTCCCTGTGCTTAATTCGGCACCAAGTCGGTAAGATGTTTCTAAGAACGGAGGTATAGCTCCAAGCATTCCCGATCTCGGCACTACGTGGAGATGAAAGATCAGCTTCACGCCCCAGTACCTTAGACCCAAAGAAGGAATCCCGTCAACCCAAGAGCCAGTCTCAGGGAAGTCTCTTGTCCCTGCCCGGAATCGAACACAAGAGTTCTGACCGCCCAACAAGCAGCTCGAGTCGCATGGACCGAGCTTTCGCGGCTTCTTCACTTAACAGTAAGCTTCATTAAACATGCTTTTAACTTGTCTTATTTTACCGACAAAATGTGATGATTTGCACATGCAAGTTACACAGAGAAACAGGAGCCATAGAAGTCTCATCGATACTAGCAAAAAGTTATTACTCGTAGAATGACGAAACCAAGGAGAATGAGATGGGCAGGGCGTATAACATGCATGGGAGAGTAGAGGTGTGCATACAAGTTTTGTTACGAAAACGTGAAGGAAAGAGGTCAGTAGGAAGATCTAAAAATAGATGAGAGAAAAATGAATTTCAAAGAAATAGGATGATGGCATGGAATGGGTTGATCTGGCTCAGGATAGAGAGTAGTGATGGGCTCTTGTGAATACGGAAATGAACCTTCGGATTCCATAAAAAGCTGCTAATTTATTTGAACGGCTGGACAACTGATGGCTTCTCAGAAAGGATCCAGCTCCATGGAATTAGTTAGTCAGTCGGTCTTACAAAATGAACCATGTCAAGACGTGACGGAAGCAATAATGGTTTCCGGAAGTTCCGGTCCCATTCTCAGGCTGCAAGAGAACGAGAGACCCCAGGTGCGAGTTTGGCTGAAGAGCCGGATATGACGTGATGGCTAGGACATGCGTGTGCTGATGCGACTAGACGGAATAATTCTGCATCACGCGTCCGTGACGGCTATTACGAAACTTCAAGCTCCAGACAGAATTTCACGGAGCAAATTAATATAGCGGACAAGGACCCGTGTTTTTATTTGGAAGAGCTCGGTTCAAATCTCGGCCGTGACACTGTTCAGCCTGATTGCTGTTTTTTTTTTGTGGTTTTCTAAAATCCCTCCAGGAAAATTCCAGGAGATTATCTTGATAAACCTACGGCCGCTTCCTTATAAATCCTTTCCAATTCATTACTCATCCTACCATTCGGCGCTCTGTAACCTAGATATTGACAGAGTCGTAGAATATGCTACCAAAAATATCGGTTGAATAATTACACAAGGAACAGTACACCAAACGCTTTTCCATCGCTGTCCGTCTTCCTGTTTTCGTACTGTACAGCCGTCTGACTTTCCGTGGGGTCTATTTTTACCTTTACTAGATAACATTCAAACGCCAGAATCTTATCAGGTGTTTTTATGTAAGCCCTAGTGTAGATAAGACATGTTAATATTCCGAGAAATGTTACACAAGTTGGATATTTTAACGAGGTTTCATTTAACACAGCCCTCACGCCTATATACGCTGTCATGCCTGATGAAAGCCGGCATAGAAGAACAAGAAAAGACGGCCGTTGCTAGGGAAAGGTTCTCTGAACATGTTTCCACTTCGACTCACAGGGGCCCAACAATAGAAAAGCTGTTGGAGGCGGCGTTCTCTCTCCTATTCGTGTAGAGAGCCATAGTGAGACAGGCTCAACTGAGGTTCACCTTACCTTGAATGAGGGGACTATCCCCTTTGTCAATAATGCAAAATATCTGGGTGTTATCTTCGATGAGAGGATTACATGGAGACTGCACACAGAAATGATTGAAGCCAAGGCCTTCAGAACATTTGTTAGAATCAACTCCCGATTCAAAAGTGAGTGTTTAAGTGTCAACACTAAACTAACCCTCCATAAGGCACGGCTCAGATCAGTAATGACTTATGCTTGGTCTGCGTGGGAATTAGCGGCAGACGCCTGCCTCCTAAAATTGCAGCGCCTGCAAAACAAGGTTTTCCCCGCCATTGCAAATTTTCCAAAGTTCACACCTGTCCGCGATTTGCACACGGCTTTCATCCATCTGTATGTATAACAAAATTGTGCAGGCGACAAGTATAAGTCATACAAAACAATGAGAATGTACATGTTCCCAGCATAGGCCAAAGCGAAGCCAGACACAGAGAATATAAGAGGCTTAAACTTGGCGGTGGTCAAGCTAGCGACTGTTCCAGTGACAAAACTACCGTTGTAGCATACGATACGTAAGTTATGCATGATCTGCTTTGCAGAGCCTGGACTGACAGAGAACGTGTATATAGTGCAAAAGGAAGAATTTTTAGTAAGATGCTATATGTGCGATACGTACACTTGAAGAAAGGCCAAGCGTATTCATAAGAGGCAAACCGATCTTCTCGTCAGAGAGGATGTTACATAAGTACTGTCACCGCAAGGGTTCAGTTAGGGGAAAAAATCTCTGGCCGTGTGTCTCAAGGGTCTTGACGCCAAGATGAGCTGATTTGCGGTAAACCGCCAGTAGTAAAGTGACTCTGACTCTGAGAAATGAGTGTCCCCCCTCTCTTCAGGCACAACCAACAAGTACCGAGTCAGTTCAGACTTCCAATGCAAACAGTTCGTCCCTGAACATGTTCCCAGAGGTCGCAACGGTACTTCAGCAGATCATGACAGAGCTCAATGGGGGCCGAGTCAGAAGATGACAGAAGGACCATCATAAAACCCGTATTAAAACTCGCGAAGTTACTTGAAAGGGGATCTTCACCACTTATGACAGAATGAATTGTAGAGGGTGTGGCTGATATGAGTTGCTGTACCAACTTTTGCCTTGAGATACTGAGGAAGACACGAAGAGCCTCGGTCGGAACAGCCCAGACTCGAACCTGTCGTCTTCTGAACACAAAGAGAGAAGCGTGGATTCAGGTACATCGCCCAATCCCAGGAGATACCAGTATTTCGCGAGTGAGTGATAAGAGACGCCAGTACACTTGTTTGCTATTTTAAACTTATCTGTGAGGCTACGTGGTCAGTCTGGGAAGTACATCTGGGCTGCCTCCTGTGTGTCTGGTAAGTTTATTTGCGTAAATGAAATGGTTGTGGTTGTAAGGAGCCGGGTCAGCGTAGTCGGTATAGCGACTGGCTACGGGTTGGACTACCGAGGGGTCGGAGTTCCAGTCCCGGTGGAAACAACAATTTTCTCTTCCCTACGTTGTACACCCACCTACGCCTTGGTCTTCCCAGTGGTCTCTTTCCTTCTGGCTTTCCCGCCAATATCCCATATGCATTCCTCGTCTCCCCCATTCGTGCTACATGCTCTGCCCACCTTATCCTCCTTGACTTGGTCATTCTAATTAAATTGGAGAAGAGTACAAGTTATGAAGCTCCTCATTATGCAGTGTTCCCCAGCCTCCTGTCACTTCATCTCTCTTCGGTCGAAATATTCTCCTCAGCACCCTGTTCCAGGACACCCTCTGTTGCTTAGAAATGGGTTGCATAACACCGTTGTTCTATTGCTGCTTCTGTGTATGCTGCAGGTGTTACCTAGCAACGGCCGCTGTTTACAGAGTCACCGCTTAGCAACAGGTCTATACGCCTCAGTATTATGAAGTTACTCACGATGCAGCTTTCAATATCCCCTTGTTCTTTCCTCTCTCTCTTGTGCCCAAATATTCTCCTCAGCACCCTGTTCCAGGGCTCCTTCTGTTTACGTCCTTTTCTTTATGTGAGAGATCAAGTTCATCATACGCATTATTCTGCAAAGTACTTACCGTGTGTAAACGAAACGCCATTCTGTGTATGCAGCTGCTGGTCTCGAGAATACTAACGCTTTCTTTGTGAAGTTTCTCCCGCCATTTTCTTGCCACATTCGCTTCTTCAAGGTACGAAGGAAGCCCCCCCTCCCTCTCCAAATGAGACGATTTTGATTTCGTGAGTGTTGAGTTTCTTACGGCAACGAATATTAAGATTGCTGCTTTCTGACGTGTGGCCCCGTGTAATCTAATAGAAAGGTACCAAAGTTTCGGAGGCATATGCTACTTCCATCTATAGGGTAGAAGAGTAACATCGGGAAAAAAAGACGGTAAAGATACAGGAAAGGGAGTGGAGGTCAGCGAGCCATTGGGAGTTGGTGAACCGTAAAAGGATGGAGCTGAATAATTAGGGGAAAGGACTTGAAAGAAAAATGTTTTTGAGAAGGAGAATTGAACGAGGAAGATTAATTTTGTTTCCTCCTCCATATGTATTACATGAATGGCATCTGAAGCGTGAAGCAAGGAGATGCAGCACTACATCTTACTGCTCGCATCGACAGCTGATGACATCTAGAAATGTAAACTAAAAAAAAATGTGACAATCAGCCCCGGTCTCCCTCATTATTTCAATACTCACTTCCTGTAACCTGTTATTTTTAACCAGATTTACAATTATCTGACGAATTATTGAATATGATGAAATTGTAAGAACGGCAGATACAAGTGTTATTTTTGTAACCAATACGTTTTCTGTTAATTTAGGATGATACTGCAGGAAAAACGAAATAAGTTGCCAAGATGGTTACTATAGGAGACCTCTTCAAAATGTCGACCTTTTGGCTGAAGATACTAGAACTGGTAAGTGAGTATTAGCTAATATTCTTGTGATGCATGAGCTGTGCTGAAAATCAGACCATTTTGACAATCTCCGTTGTGCGGAAACTTCCTGTTCCCGTTTGTGTTTGTACAGTGGAAAGAATTTTATATTCCACGTGACCGAAAAGAGACACTTATTGTTAGCCTCCCTGTGTTTTTTTAAAATGCGTGTCACGTGTCATTCGAATGATGTTCAAAGCAAATGTGATAGATCTTATATAGGCCCAAGTATGTATGTTTATATATGCGGTAACTAATTAAACTTCACGGAGCTGAGCCCTTCTTGAGAAGCCGTCAGTCGCTCATTTACTCAAGAATTTTCCAAAATTTTATGGAAACACAAAGCTCATTACCGTGTTCCCAAGAGCCCTCCGCTGCCCCATATCCTGAGCCAGATCAATCCTGTCCATACATCACTACCCAATCTAAGATCCATCTTGATATTATTTTCCACTTACGTCTAGGTCTTCCTAGTGTTCTCTTTCCTTCTGGCTTTCCCACTAATATCCCACATGTATTCCTCTTCTCTCCATTCGTGCTAAATGCCCTGCCCATCTAATCCTCCTTGACTTGATCATTCTAATTATACTTGGAGAATATATCAGTACCTACTTATTGTTTTTATTGCTAGNATTTACTCAAGAATTTTCCAAAATTTTATGGAAACACAAAGCTCATTACCGTGTTCCCAAGAGCCCTCCGCTGCCCCATATCCTGAGCCAGATCAATCCTGTCCATACATCACTACCCAATCTAAGATCCATCTTGATATTATTTTCCACTTACGTCTAGGTCTTACTAGTGTTCTCTTTCCTTCTGGCTTTCCCACTAATATCCCATATGCATTCCTCTTCTCTCCATTCGTGCTAAATGCCCTGCCCATCTAATCCTCCTTGACTTGATCATTCTAATTATACTTGGAGAATATATCAGTACCTACTTATTGTTTTTATTGCTAGTGGGGCGGGACTAAGTCGCT